ATATTATCTTTTATCCAACAATTCCTCCTGCAGGGCACAAATACAATGTGTCTACCTAGGTTCAAGACTTCCTTTTCAATAGTTAGACATAAATTCAACGCGGTAGCAGAGCACTGGCATAAGCTGCCAGATTATGGGGTGCAACTCCCTGATATTTCACTTCCACTCAAAATAAGATTTCTCTTATTCACATTGATTAGGCTTTAGCTGCCTTTTTTCTTTAATGATAGCATTTTTGCTTGTGGGGCGCAATTCCATTGTTAAAGATAATGTTGATAGTTTTGTGTAGTTGGACATTATTGTGTTATGGCTGTGTTGTCAGTGTTTTGATTTTGGTACTACCAGAACCCATGCAGGCACTGATTATATGCTCTCCCAATCTGGCATTGTTGTATTGTTTTAATTTTATTTTTGTGATACGAGATGTGATTGGTGTATAATGGATTATAGATCTTTTGAAGGGGATAAACTGATTTCAGTTTTTTATGTAAAGAAAATTTTGTTGGCGAGAACTAATGACTAGCCAGAGGATATGGAGAATCTTTCACTAATCATTATCAGTAGAAAACAAAAACTTTGAAAAAATAAAATACTGTCTCTTGATGAATATATAATTTTTGAAGAAAGGAATATTTATGTTTTGAAATAGTTTTTAGACAATATGTTTGGGGGTGTGTAAAAAAAAACCTTAGTGGAAGCTTACTAAGTTTCATTTTGGTAAAGCAAAAGTTTGTCCAAAAAGGTTTCAGCTCTCCCCTAAACCTCTACCTCTTCTTCTTGAGAAGTTAATCAGGACCCTTGCACCCTGCAATCCTTGAACTATTTACCAGTACTTTCATCCTGTAGTCCTTGGACTGTTTACCAATCCACGGTTCTTGGAATATTACCCAAAAAGAAAATTTTTTACGAATTGAAGTGTTGTGGGAAAGAGTTTTTTTTTTATTTATTACAAGATATTAAAAAATATTTGGATAATATGCATTATACGAATATATTTAGATTAAAAAATATTGAAAAAATAAATAGAATTCAAAGAAAAAAAAGAGTTTAGATTGTCTTTGAAAGTTATTTAATTGAGATGAATGTAAATATATTAGAAAATTATTTATAATAAATGTCCAATATCAATTTTTGTTCAAAAAAATTATTAATTAATAATAATATTGAAATAAGCAATAGTATAATATACCAAATATTAAAAAAATATAATTTGTAGCTAAAGTTAAAAAGAAAAAACCTTTACTTATAAATAAAGATGGGTTCTTAAATAAAATTTTACAAATTAACTATATCTCTTTTGAAGGGATATAATTATTTATTTATTATTTTAATAGAAACATAATTCAAAAAACATTTGGATCAAATAGCTTAAATTGCAAAAAACCTTTATAGGTAGTTTTTTTTTTATCTTATATTAAAAAAAAACTTTTTTAATAGTAAGAAATATTTAAATTATATTCTAATCTTTAATTTAGGGACCTATCTTTACCTATAAAACAATATAAAATTATAACTGAATTTTGTTAAAAAATATAAAGATTAATTAGTTAATGATTAAATCAAAATTTCAATTAATTAATTCAAATAGGCAAGAATTTTATTGAAAAAGACCAGGTGAACAATCAAAAAAGTATTATATCAAGCCAATTGTTAAATTTTGTAAGGAAATATTTTTGTTTAGAGTTGTTTAACTTGAAAAAAAATTGAATATTTATGTCAAATCAATAAAAAACTTAATTTGCAATTATATATAAAAATTTTATCTGATGAGTTTAAAAATCTTTAGAATATTGACCTGTGGGTCTATAGCACAGTGGTTAGTGCTCCGCAGGTCAGATCACAAGATACCAGTTCAATTTCATGTGAAGGCAATTGAATAGATTAACATGGTATCTGGCACCATGACCAATTATGTGCCGTTTCCCATAAGAAGTTGTTTCACATGCTGACCCAGCAGGCGTTGGGATTGTGATCTTTCCGTTAAGATGTAGTGGTGTAATGATCGTCCGGATGGTGTTACGATGATCGTCTACGAAAGGAGCCATAGAACCACTCATTCATTTGGATGTACAGACTGGGCTGTACTCCATCTTAACCAATCCCAAGCTATCAAGTTTCCTCATTAACTACCGAGTAAGAATATCTTGAAGAAATTCACTGAACCGACACATGCCCATGTACAGATATGGCAGCCATGTGGTGAGACAGAGCATATAGGAGTTGCGCCCTGCTTGGCATTTATACCCCTAGATTTGGCAGCATATGCCAACCGGTCCGAATCTGGATTGTCTACTAGGAGATTAAGGAGCATCGGTCTGTCATTGATAGACTAGACCCTTAAGGAGTCACGCCCCAGTTGGTCATAAGGCTCCTAGATTTGGTAGTGTCCAACCAGCGGTCAAAACCGGAGCATTCACTAGGGAGTACATGCTTTCATCAAAGGCATTCTCTACGGCATGGTATTGTGAGCGAAAAGGTGGTACATAATAGATAGCTTACAAAAGTAGTTAGTGATACTTACCCCAACCATGACGCTCATCAAAAATTGGACCGGTAGGTTGGATGGTTTAAAACTAGTGGTAGGATTTCCATCCCCTAGATAGGTCCCCTCCAAAAATATAATAACCCACTCTAAAAGTGGCGTTAATATCACTGGGGCATTAAAAGTAGATAGGCTAGCATTTAGCTGTTGTAATAGCAATAGACGATGTTTGATGTATATGTAACATTGATAATTACTTCAATAAAATTCCTGTATCTAATGCTATTCTACTATAAAAAAAAAAAAATCTTTAGAATATTATAATTTAGATATTAATAATATAATTTTTATATATAATAATGATCTAAAACATAAGTCTAAATATATTATTCAATGGATTAATAAAATAATATAGTAGTTTTAGATTGGTTATACAATCTATTGATATAAATCCTATTAAACATATTTGGAATAAAGTGGATTATCATTTATATAAGTTAAAAAGTTGAAATTAAAAATAAGGAGCAACTGTGAAAATTAGTTAATGATATATGAAACTCAATTTATATTAAGTTTTCTCAAAAATTAATTAATATAATGTCCAAAATAATAAGAAATATTATTGTAGCTTGGGAAAGTTATATTGATTGGTAACTTGTAATATATTGAAAATTATAAGATATAATAGATGTTTTGTATTGAATTTAAAAAATAAAAAAAATTGAATTCAAAAACATCAAAAAATCATATCATAAAAATTAAAGATTTTTTAAAATTTTTTACTAGTAAATTGTTTATTTATAAAAAATTATATTATTATATAGCTTTAATTATAAGCTATTGTCATGGCTTATCAATAAGTCTATTACTATATGAAAGTTAAGATTCATATAACAATAGTAAGTGTTTATTGTTATAGATAAGACAGATTTGATTATGGTCAAAAAGTTGACTAATTGTTTTTTCTTTATTAACAACATGGTTCTTTTATATATATATATTTTTTTTTTCCGTAATCAAACAAGTATTTATTATGTTTATTTAATCTTTTTAAAGAAGACATAATTGTATATATATGACTTTTATGCATAAACTAATTACTTATACTTGAATATCCGTCTTAGGTAGTTAACCTCTAGATATGATCTTGGAGATGAATAAAGTTGCTCCCTCTTGTTTCCTATTCCTAAGGAAACTCAAGTTCATTGCCTGCAGTTCATCACTACAGTTCACCTTGGCAAAATCTTGATTACTTTACATTCCTAACCATTTTTTCCCTTCTTTTATCTTATCCCAGAGCACTTTCATGAGTCCAGGTGTATGATTTGTACTGACTGCCGTAGACGACTGTGCTGTTCCTATTTTTGAACTTGAGGGGTCTTGCGGCGATGCTCCTTTTTTCTCCTGAAAGTTTTGCGTGTCTCTGTGCTTCTGCTTGGGTGAGGTGATCTCTTTTCATTTGCCTTTTCCCCAGAAGTTCTTTTTGCGCTCTTGGACCAACATGGTTCTTTTATATAATAAATCCAATAATTATATAAGAAATTGATAATGAAAAATAAAATAAACAAAAAAAAAAAAGTAAAAGAGAAATAAAATAATGAATTATAGTAAAGCTATTATATAACACATTATTATTTTTGTTATCATATTACATAATTCATTAATTTTACCAAGCAAAGACAGATCATATAACTTAGTCTGGTCTTTTTCTGCTTATGTTATACTTTTTCTATCAAAGCCTCCCATATTTTTTATATGTGCCATTTATTGTTTTGATATAGCTGGTTCTAATCATAGTATATGATATCTCTTAATGAATAGTATTAGTGAAATTTGCATCACCACTTTCCATGTTACACTATATATTTATATAATGTAATGGTTACCAGCAAGTCTATTGTTAATGAAAGCTAAGATTCACATAACAATGGTAAGTGTTTTATGTTATGTGTGAGGCAGAATTGATTATGGCCAAAAAAATTCTTCTTTATTAATAATATAGGTTTCTTTTATACAATTAGTCCAATAATTACATAAGAATTTGACAATAAGAAAATTAAAATAAACAAAAAAAGAAAAATAAAATAATGAATTGCAGCAAAACCATTACATAACATATTATCATTTTTGTCATTATATTACATAATTCATTGATATTGACAAGCAAAGACAGATCACGTGACTTAGTCCAGTCTTTCTTTGATTATGTATGTTATATTTCTCTATTACAGTCTTTCACACTTTTTCATGTGTGCCATTATTTCGACGTGGCTTGTCCCAGTTATAGCGCGTGATACTTCTTGGCGATCGTTGTTAGTGCAAATCGCGTCGCCATTACCCATGTTACAATAATACTTAAAAATTTCGATCCTTACTCCCTCTTTGATAGCATCACATGCTTCTCACGCTAATAATTGATTGACCAATAAAACTGATTAGATAAAAAAAAAATAATTGTATACTGTATACGATTCCCCCAAAATATTTTCCAATCATTTACTTTTTAATCGCAAAAATTATGTCGTCTAACGTTGCAGGTTCTTCAACCGGTGCCACATCTGATTTTCTAACAGTTGAACAAGTGAAGGCATGGAGTCGAGATGAAGTTAAAACGTTTTTGCAAAGGAACAAAGCTGGATTAGACCTTGAAGACGGAGATATTGAAATATTATATAATCAGAGGGTTAAGGGTGATACTTTCCTTGCACTGAAGTATGAAATGCTTGTAAATCTTCCTTTGAGCATTCCAGTCGGACCAGCCGTAAAATTAGTAGAGTTTATTAATAAAATTCAAGGAGGTAAGCGAACTTATTCTCGCCCAAACCGTGTCATAGTTGCCAATAATATCGAATACTAACTTAATCTTATCGTCAAACCGCCCAAAAAACACATTCGCACTATCTTAGATCAACTCGTCACTAGCGGTGAGTCGTAATAATTTTTTGTCAACGCGTCCTGGCTTGAATTTTTTTTCCACAACAATTTCGAATGTTCTAAACCTAGCGTTATGATATATTCATCAAATATTGATTTATACTTCTTTCCTTCCTACTGCGCTTTGTAGAGTATCCTATAAAGAAACGTCGAATAGAACAGGGCTGGAAGTCATACACCGCCTCTGATGGTCACTCCGTAGAATTGCCATCCCAAATAATTGACATGCTTGAAAGTAACAAATTCGTACCTGATCTGCGCATTAATTTTAAAACTGCCTTCCGGAACCTTCATGTTGGCCAATCAATTACCCTACCACATCTTGGCCAGCAACCTAAATACTTCGCTGAAGGTTATCAAGGAAGGACATTGCTTGTCACTGGGCAGATGATTGACATATGGGACAAGATTTCAGCAGATAGTGACCATTCAATCAAGCGTGTTCTTTCAGGCCCAATGGGCGTGGGAAAATCATATATTGCCTACTTCCTTGCATCTAAAGCTTATGCTGAAGAATGGCCGGTGCTCTACATCGCAGATGCATCTGATCTTAATGTAGAATCATCAGAGAAAGCAGGAGAGGTGATTTGCAGATACTTCCTGGCACTTAATAAAGATATTTTGACTGCCGCCGAGCTTAAGAATATTGTGCGATTTGCTAGTGATTTTAATACTCAACCGGTTATGGTTATTGTCGCTGAAGCAATTCTAGACTTTATCAAATCAGCAGATCGCAAAGCTCTATTAATTGTTGACGAACATGGTGTATTATTTGAAAAAGATCCAGTACCTTTAAGAATTCACTTGTTAAGTCCTCTCATGAACCTTAATTTTTGGGGAGAGCATTGTAAATTTGCACGTGTAATCATTACGGGGACTTCACATGCTAGATATGAGAGTGAATACATGAAATATGATCAATATGTGTTTTGGGTGATCTATGTTGGTCCACTACAGAGCAATGTATTTGATATTTTGTTACAGTTGCACCCCGTTCTGAGGATACAAGGCATCAAAGAAGAAGCAAAAAAGGTTACGAATTGTGTGCCACGTGAACTCATATATCTAGTTGAATATATCAAAAAACTCAATATTACTATTACCAATGTAAACCAGTTTCAACAAGTATTAAAAGATTTCGAGATTGAACGGGTCGACAAGATTCTGACTATTGCTAAAAAATATTATAATGATCTCCCGAAAATTTTTAAAACTCGCCACTATGATGCTCTCACAAGCATGTTTCTTCCCAGTAAACCCGTTGTGCAGTTTGAGTGGAAGTTCTTAGATCTTGGGTTAGTTTATCGGTACATGGAAGGGATTACTCGTTACCTCCCTCTATGCCCACCTGCTCAGAAAGCCTTATTAAAAATGTACATGTCATTTGACCTACCTGAAAATATAAAAAATCAACTCTGTATAAGAAGTCTAACTGGAGAGCAATTTGAGGAAGCCTTATTCAATCGACTTATATGCAAATGTAACACAACAATACAACTCAAGACAACTGATCTCGATAATAATAATAGAAAAGTTATTACACTTCAGTTTAATGACTATGATTTGATTAAAAAATCCCAATTATCCCTTGGACCTGGTAACGATAAAGTCTTAGGTCGTGGCTTTAATGGATACCCCCGATTCGAATACATGCTCGGACCTATATTCATACAGGTATCTGTCAGTGACTTCGTAACACACAACAGCAAACCATCAACGAATATCAGGAAAGCATTTGAAACAATGTCTGCACAAGCTGGTATCTCTCAAACGCAAATTAATGGAAGAAACCAGATCGAGATGTATTTGGATGAGATGTATGGTCCTGGTCATTCTGCTATAATGGATCCACAAAATAGGTTTGTTGTTACCAGAAATGGCACACGCGTGTCTGGATTTCGTATTGTCTATATTCGAGGTAGTCCTGGAATTCCCAATCACTCGAGTAAAGTTCGTGAATTCCCTGATGTAGCACATGTCACCTTTGAGGAAATCACGGGACAGCTTTTCAGAAACTTAGTATAATATTTTATTGTTATGTAGCTAAGAGATAGACGAAATTTGAAATTTTTATTCTTTGATTAATTATGTATTAGTTTTATTAATGCTATACGAATATGTACTTACATCATGTTTAACATGTAATAATTCCGTATCTTATATAAAACAATGGGAAATACCAAATCCGAACTAAATCTATTGAAACAAGAGAACGCCAGGCTTTTGGCTGAGAATTCTGAACTTAGAAACGAGAATGCTAAATTAAGACAAGATATAAAAGGGCATGAAGCCAGAACCATGAAGTTAGAGCTGAGAGAAAAAAGTATTACTAATGTTTCACAATCTTCGGTTTGCGAAGCGGGATACTCTATATCTAATAACATCTCATCCGAAATAGAGAATTTCAACAATACTCCTGCATCTGATGTAACTGAAGACGTTTCAAATTCTGATATTTCTGAACAGGTAGAAAATAGGACAAATATATGCTACAAAAAAGATATTCAATGTTCAGTACCCACTATTCCCCCCGAAATAATTCTAATAGTGCTCATAAACAGATAGTCTCATGTAATGAGGAGTCTAGCACATCTAGCCACGAAGTGACTGCCCTTAGCAATTCTGATACACAACAGGAATCAGAGACCTCCACATCTCCTATCCCCGCAGAAACCATATCATTGGAAGAGAAAGAAAAAAATGAATTTTTGAATTTAATGTATAAGGAACAGGTTAGTAAAGAGATAACACAGAGCATTATGGAGAAGAAACTTTGAGATCAAGATCTATCTTCAGACATTTCTTCATCAGAAGAGGTAGTATCTGAGGTATCAGTTCCTTCAACTTCGATATCCAGAAATATTGAACTCAGAAAGTCTGAAATTTCAGCCAGGGCATCTCGGCCAAAAAATAGTTATAAGAAAAAGGGGCAGAAAGTATTTCTCAAATGATATCTGATGGTATTTAAAATAACATACTGAGACCTACTCTCAGTTCCTCTAATAATATTTTATTATAATGGAGTCAAATTTCTTCTACTGTATCATTGCTTACTTTAGCTCAATTATTTAATAGAGCTACTGATGCTGAATATGGTGCAATTTATGCTAACCAGGAAGAAATTTTATATTGGTGTTATTATGGAAAAGAATTCGTAACCAAGTTAATAAAACTATAAAAAATGGTAAAGTTGGTGAGAAAAAAGTGAAAGGAATTATTTATGATAAAATATTAGAAGATCTTTCTATTCTCCATAAAAAGAAATCTGAAGATACATGTTTACAACTTCCAGAAATTTCATGTAAATACTTGCAATGGAAAATCAAGAAAGCTGTAAAAATATACAAGTTATTTGAAAATTTAGGTATAGATAAAATTAAATATATCACAACTTATAGTGCCAATTCTATCTCAGAGTTAACTAATGAAAAATTAAATATATCACAACTTATAGTGCCAATTCTATCTCGAAGTTAACTAATGATAAAATTAAAGAAATTATAGATAGTTTCTCCAAGCAGGAAGACAAGTCCCCAACTTCTGAATTTCAGTCAGAGATTCCTGTCAAAATTCTATTACCAATTCTTCCAACTTAGAAACACCTGTCTTTTCTATCTTATTGTCTAATACATCTAATTCAGAAGATATAATAAGTGAAGATAACAAATCTTTATCGGAAACTAAGATAAGTGTATTATCAGAAGTTATTCAAGATTCCAATTCATCAGAGACTGATATACAAGTAAGTGTGCCTAACTCATGGAGTAAGAATGCTATCACATCTATAGTTGCTGTTCAAACTAGATATGGAAAGTTTCAAATTCCAAACTTATTTGGACTATATTTTGTCCCAAATTCCAATTTATATTATTTAAGACAACCCAATCCCATATATGTTTCAAATCCTATATATATTTTATTAAAAACAGTTGGCCAATAAAATTTTAATTAACTAGAAAAATAACAAAAGTAATGTAAAAAATTTATGTGAAAAAAATAAAAAAAAATTTATTCTAAATCTGTATTATCTAACATTGTATCAATATCAAATTCTGTTGTTTTATTATTAATTTCTTTTTCCTTTTCTTGATTAAAACCTTCAAAATTATCTATAATAGAATTAATATAAACAATAGTTTCAAGTATTAAATTTGTATTACTAAAAGATAAATTTATTTTAATGTTGATATTGTAGTTTCTAATTTGTCTTCATTTTTTTCATATATAAATATATCAGATTTAATAAACATTGCATAAACCATATCAGTTATTATACTTTTTATCTTTTCATTAGATATTTCTTGTTCAATAAAATTAAGTTCACTAGTTGTATTTGAAATATAAAAAGAATGTATTTGTGTTATAGCACTTAAATAATTAATATTTAATCTATAAAAATTATAAAGATTAATTTAAAAAATTAAAAAAAAAATTAAGTTATATAAAATAAATTTACCTGGTTTGATGTTTTTGAGTTATATAATTAAGAATAGAAAAATCTTATTTATAAGATACTTAATAAGAAACTATAGCTAAAATTATTTTTTTTCCCATAGTCAAACAAGTACATACTGTTTATTGAATCTTTTCAGAAAACAAATAATATATAATACATTGTATTACATAAACTATTCTACTGCCTTGAACACTCATCTTAGACAAATATTTCTAGGTGTGACTTTGGAAATGAAAAAGATTGCTCTTTTTTCTATTTATCTACCTATGGAGTTTGATATTAAAGATTATTGTCTGCAGTTCATCACTACAGTTGGAACTATAGCTAAAATTATTAATATTAATTTTTAAATATAATTATTTTTTTAATTGATAGAATTCTATCAACTTTGTAAAGAAAAATTATGAAAATTAAATAAAATATCATAAGATTCTTTTTGTTGTTTATAAGAAGTCATTTGATTTAAAAGTTAAGAACTACTATATTTACTTCCTTTCATTTTTATTCAAAGTAAAAGGGCAGTATAACAAATTTTACAAAAAACACCTGATTGTAATTCTTTTGCTAATAAATATAAATAAAAATATTATTAATATTATTATATTTATATTAATATAATAAGTAAATAAAAATTTTATTTTTTATTTTTTTATTTTTAGAAAGTGAATGAATATTCAATGCTATGGTTTTTATTGAATTATTATATTCATCGCCATATATTTGCGATCTTATACATGCCAATATTACTACTAACTATAAGTTTAACTGTAACCAATCCACCTTCTATAAATAAAAATATTATTATTATTAATATATTTATATTAATATAATAAATAAAAGAAAAAGATCTATATCAAATTCTATTTATTGACTATTATATATATTGATATACTGTATATTTTTTTTAAAATTCAAGTTTTATATATTTGGAAGTTCTTAAATTGCTTGAGCCATTTTTAATAATTCAATAAATACTAATGCTAATGTTGCAGTTTTATATTTAACATCTTTCAAAGCTTGTTTGGAAGAATTTAATATATTTCAAAGTTGTACAATATTAATTCAAAATTGTTGATTGTTAATAATTGCTTTGATTTCTTTAGCTTTATTAAAAATTTCTAATTAATTTTAAGAATCTTTTAAATAAATATTAATAAAAATTTAAAAAAGTTTATTTTATAATAAAATATAATAACAATAATAATAACTGCTTTAATTAGGGCTCCGAAAAGTATCGAACTGATACTGAAGTAGTATCGAAATGGTACCGATCTATAGTAAATTTAATATATAGGTTGTGACCCACTTATATAAATTTATAATAAATTTAAGTATAGAACTGGTATCAAACTGGTATCGAAGTGGTATTGTTAGAAGCCTTAGCTTTAATTGCAATTTCATATCTTAAAATTAATTTTGTATAATCTTATGCTGTTAACTAACATGTTTTAATTGATATTTTAATCTTTCACCTGCTATAAAATTTTAATTAATTATTTTCTATGAGCTGCACTTGCATAGTATGCCATTTTAAATAATTAATTATTTTTTGATATTTTGATAAAGTATTTTTAGCAAATTTTATATTAATAATATTTGATATAATTAAATTTATTAAATAAGCAATATATCAAATTAATATAATTGAAGGATATTGTAATTAATTAATTTGTTACTAATTGCATTGTTGCTTCTCTATTTGTAACAATAGTTATAAATTTTGTTATTCCAATCTCATTAATAATTTCTTCAATCTTGCTAACATTAAATTTTCCAGTATAAATTTGATTTAATACATTAAAAATAAAATATATATGCTATTTTCATTAAGGAGTAATAAGTATAATAGTATATATTGAATGCACATATTGACCTATTAATAGTTATATTTAAAACAAATAAATATTTAAATGTTATTTAAATATTATTTAATAAAATATAAAGATAAAATTCTTATCTAAAATTAAATTTTTTGCATTTTTTAACTCTTGTTTTATTTTTAATAATATTTTTACAATTTCATAATCAAGAATTGTTTCTAATAATATTGTTTTTTCAGGCAAATCATAATTATAATATAAAGATTTACAAAATCTTAAAAAAAGAATAATTAACCATATGAAAAGAAATTCTACAATAGGTAAAAAATTGAATTAATATTGTATAATATTGAGCTATTTTGCTTTTATCAATCAAAATATTATTATTAAGTTGTTCTATTTCATTATTTATATTTCTTTTACAAGTTATTAATAATGATTTGCCTCTTATACTTTCAAGGGTTTCAATTTGAATATTTGAAAAACTTTGTATAAAGATGTATAAAATGGTTTTTCATTTGTATAGGTTTTTTTTTGCTTCTAAATTTTGTTACAATAGTTATATTTAATATCAAAATAAATATCATTGGATTTTTTAATTTCAATAAAGTATTTTTAAATAGTAAACTTAGGATGACCACCTTTGTTTTTACTATTTGAAACAAAATTTAAGCTTTATAATTATATATCTTTAGTAATAGTCTCATTATTAAAATTAAATTAAATATTTTAAATTTATTAAGAATAATAGTTAAAAAAAATTAATATTAGATAAAATTCATCTTATATAACTAATTTTATAAATTATATTATAATTAATCTTACAAATTATAATATAACTAATCTTATAAATTATATTGTAACTATTTTTAAACTTTTTTTTGATAATTATTATATAAAAAATATAAACTTTCTATTTAATAGTGGTTATTCTATAATAAAACCATATTAAAATAAAAATATTTTATAAATTTGACTTTTTTACTATATAGTTTAAACCTTTATTCCAAATAATACAAATATAGTTAATACCAAATTATGTTTCAAAGTTTCAAACCTTAAATGTTTAGACAGCAACTATAGCTTTAATTATTGCTTTAATCAAATTAATAAAATCTATAGTAGAGAAGATTTGATCAATTATATCATAAACCAGTTCAATGATTTGCTATATTTAAAAAATTGGTCTGAGGTTACTGTCTGGATAAAGAATTTGATTGATTGAATTTATAATTTAATTGATTTGTTCTTAGATTTTAAAACAAATAATTATATGTCCAATGTTTTTAGTACAAAATTTGTATCTTGGAAATACACACCCCTACGGTAAATTACCGGGATTTTCACGTGAGTCGACGAACGATCGTTTTTTTTTTTTTTTTTTTTTTTTTTTTTTTTTTTTAATTTTATTTAACTTTCATTAATTTATGTACAGTCAGCAAAAAAATAAAATAAACTATAATGATCATAATTTATTTT